CCCAGCACTGCCAAGTCCACCACTAAATCACGGCCCTAATAAAAGCCCTGTCTGCACATCTGTTAAATATCTCCAGGGCTGGTGACTCAACCACTGAGTTACAGACAAAGATTGATTAGGGAATATATCAATGAAATTCACCGAAGGTACTGAAAAAAGGAAACAATGTAAAATAATTGCATAATGGCTTGATGAATAATCTGTAAACACTAAAGAGAGGCACGTATATATCATCTAAGAATCTGTAATTGTCTGGGATTCAAGAGACCCATGGTAAAATCCCTTATCTAAACATCTCCATTCAATGGAAAATTGCATTTAATTGAAGCAATACCAGTCAGCCTTGCACAGGACATGGAAACTTGCTCATGGGGTAGAGCTTTCTGCGAAGCAGAGAGTAGTTGTGACATACCAAGCTAGAAAAAAAATAAGCAGGTATTTCTTTCATTAGAGAATGCTCAATGTCTTCCCACTATCAGTGTTTCTTGTAGGTCATCTGGTGCTCTGTTACCTCCTGCATTCTGTTGTTGCTCCAGCCACTTAAAACCTGGGTGGAGAGAACTGAAAACTGGATATGAAGAAGTTGTGACAAGACACAAAAAGCAGCTCTCATGATAAGGGAATATACTGGAAATGGTGGAGGTAGCAAATGGAATCAACTTTTAAGGTACAAAGAGAAAGATTATGGGGAATTTACTTTAAAAGGGCTGGGAGAAACAGAAGATTTAAAAGAGTAAAGAGAAAGACATGATTAAAATGAGGCTTAAGAAGGGTAAGGAAAATATTAATCTACAGCAGTTTTAATCTGGCTACAGCCATGAAGCGTTTTCCTGTCAACCTCCTAACTGGGAACAACATAGACTAGGGACTAAACTGAGGAACTCTTGGTTTGTGTAACTGCAGACCTTCACAGACTATAATTTCCTTGTGAAGGAAAATATAAGAAAGGGATGAAAAAAATAAGACGTGTGGGACAATTCGTAAATCTTTCAAGCAATTGCTCTCCAGACCCAGTGGATGGATCTCTGTCCATACCAGTGTGCATATTTCATATGTGGGACTGTGGTCACATTCACCCTCTCCATTTTCAGAGGCTTTTGAGCTAGCATCTGGTGAGGTTTATGGTGGTTGTCCACTAGGCTTGATGTGAATTTGGGTTTTTTTTTTCCTTTAAAGTCTGTAGCCTGCTTCCTGAAACAGACCTGAAAAATGTAAACCAGTATATATCCATACTAACTGACCACCAGGGAAGAAGGCTTCTGAGCCTTACTTTCTCAGACTGGTGATACTGGAGAGTAGAAAAGATTCAATTCTTTGACCCTGGCCTAAGTCTTCAGGTTGTTTTTGTGAATGTTTGTGCAATCACAATAGCAGAATCTTTCCATGATGTTGAGGGTATTTTGTGTAAAGTCCAGAATCTGAAGGAGAGATTATTTCAGTTTTGTAACTTGCTTTTGTCTTTGAATAATGCCGATCATCAAGAATACAGAGGTACTTTTGTGACTGAATTTCCCTCTCTCCCAAACAAAGTGAGAATTCCAAGAAACAGAAAAATACACTCACAACACTTGGTTAGAAATAAAAGTTAAAGACTTTTTATACCTCACCTCTGAGTTGGCCAGCTAAGAGACATCAAAATAGGCTTGGGGGTATTTATCTATGTTTTCAAAGTTTGCTGTCTGATAATTAATCTTGTTTCAGATGTTTTGGCATGCAAAAACATTGCTGAAAATTTAGGATACTATATTCTACTGAAAAGAAATTTTAGAACAGCTTGATTTCGGGCTTTTTTTCTTGTTTTTTCCTCTCCATGTTCTGCTAAAGATTTACTTGATAAAAATCAGGCATCATGTGTTGGCAAAGTAGACAAGTAGTTTAAATTGTTCATTCTTTGTTGTTCTCAGTAGATTTGTGTCATGTTATTTTTGTCCAAACCTTTGCTCAACTCTCGTGTGTTTCATAGGTCACCAGTTTGTCTTGCTGTTGATGGCAGTGAGACTGTATGTACATGTTGGTGAGTTAGGTACACAACTTACAGCTTAATAAAGAGAAGTACTGTGTGAAAAAGGAAAAAAAAAGAAAATCCAGACTTGTTACATGCCTACAGTACAGTGCTCTTCTTCAGAAATCCTGGAATAGCCATTTTGTTTAACAAGTAAATTTTGTGGCAGCAGAACTAATGAAGCCTGGTTTCCTATAGCTTTTTGTCTCATGGGTGATTGACTTTCACTATCTAAGAGGATGTGAGCCCCAGGCAAAGCTTTTCCCATCAGTGGGGTGTTTATATAAGGGATTTCTCCCATGAGGCTTCTCTCTATCTTGAACTCACAACTGCAAGTTTTCTCAGAGCCAGGACTCTGATAGCATCTCTACCCGTCTGTCTGTTTTCAGGAAGAAAAAGGAAGAATTCAGCTATCTTTCACAAGTCTACCACAAAATATCATTAAGAAATGGATGGAGTGAATACACAGGTGAACACGAAATGGTCGTATAGGCTCCAATTTTGTAGGAAATTCTAGTGAAAATAACATGGACATGAGAGGATGCAGTACTGCAGTGACTATCAGAGATATTTTGTGTGCTTGAAAACCCCAGCTCAAAGTTTTTCCCATAAGAGAAAACAGATCTGATGATTTATTTCAAGGTTTTCAATGCTGTGTGCACAACAGCAGATGTGCAATGTGCTCCCAAAACAGTGCTTTTGTCTTTGTCTTTTGGTGAGTCCATAGAACTACCACCATCAGCAGTTGATTAACTGTGCTCTTTAATACAGATTTCATAGTTTTTCACCTCAGAGCAGAAGATTTTTATTTCAGCCCTACTACAAAAGCCTGTGCTGGCAAATGCCAAGTCTAATATTTTAGTTTTCACAATTGCACACCCATTCATAATTGTGTAGGTAATTATCCAATCAAATACAAAGTATGCACTATTAGTTTTTTAAGAACGATGTTCTTCAGTGCAGTCTAGTGAAACAACTTCTAGCACTTCTTGTATATATTTGGATGGTAAAGGCAAAGCCATAAAGAGTCCTAGGCCAGCCAGGATATAGCAATGCCTATATTAAAGCCAGTGAAGTAAAATTCTAGCGTGTATCCTTTGATGCTCTGCCTCAGTGATGCAATACAAATGTACATTTTAATGGTGCTTTTATAGTACTTGAACTCTTGGCTGTATTGAAATGCAATTTTTCAATCTGGATGTTTTTGGAACTTGTTGAGAGTTTAATATGCATGGTTTTTATAGATCCCAGAGAGACCTCCCACAAACTTTTCTTTTACCCACTCACAGAAAATCCTCCCTTGTTTGGGTGCTAAGGAACCCTTGTGAATTAGTCACAGGCAGTGAGGTAAGAAGTGGTGTTTGAGCTAGCTGTCTATATTTTAATTAAATGAGAACTCCGGGTTCTCACTAGACAGATTCTTGGGTTTAGACTTCTTCTCCTTAGAGTCTGAACTGCTGGAAATTTCCTGGCTTCTTTTAAATGACTTGTATTTTTGTGAGAGCATCCCATGCAATTTTTAAGAGCTGCTGGGGAAATAAACTGCTTACAGTATCTAGAACTTTTCAATCATCCATTTCCAGAGACTTGGGGAGTTATTAGTAGCATCAGTTCCCATGTGGGGAACTTGAGGCACAGAAGATTGAAGAGCCTTGCCCCAGACCATCCAGAAAGGAAGAAACAGAACTAGAGTTAGGGGCTCGTGCTTCTACCTTGTGCCACATCCATTCAGACACATGCTTCAGCCATCAGGAGAGGAAACATGTCGTGTGCTAGCAGTGAATAGCAGAGATTCTGACCTTCAGAAATGGCAACCACTTCACCTCTGTGGTTCATAAACCACAACATATAACCTAAACAGAGTGTCTGAAGAGTAGAAAGATTGGAACCTTCTGAAATGCAGACAGCTTGCACCAGTGGGCTGGCAAGGAGAAGTTTATGTGTCTGCCTCTATTTGGAGGAGGCATGCATTCATGGCTGAGTCCATCTTCATGTGATTTTTTTTTTCTCTCCCTCAATGAAAAAATACTTCTGAGGGTACAGAATGTGGTTTTACTGTTTTCTTCAGTGTTCAGCTGTGATGGTGGCTTTCATGAGAGAATGAATAGACTGAATTACCCTTCCTTTCCTTCTGTGCAGACACCTCATATTCCTCTAGATACTGTCTGGTCTCATATTTTACTAGATGAGCCATCTCGTCATCTTAATCATAACCTAAATAAGCTTGCTTTGTCCGTGTGCACCACAGTAGGAGGCTGGGCAGGACAGACCAAATTTTTAACTTCTGCCTTGGATTGTGATGTCTTACCTGTGTAAGCAGAGGTGGAAAAGTATTTGTGCTATTCTTCCTACATCCAATGCCTCAAATCACAGCTTTTCAGCAGCCAGAGGATGAACATAGCTCATAGGTTTTTTGCTTCTCTCACAGGCTTCCTCAGACAGAGAGGGAGGCAAAATAACAGCTTTACATAGTTTTCTGCAAAAAGGGAGGAACAGCAAGAAACTATAGTGGGGCATGGTGAGAAACTCCAGACAGAGAAACTCAGTGCTAATATATTTTTAAGTGATTCTTTCTTGCTTATGGCACCCATTATATAACACAGTCACAGCATAGGATCTGAAATGTGAACTCCAAACAAACAGTAGAGAAGGAGGAGATCTGTTTACATCTGTTTTAAAGGAGAGCACTGTAAACATAACACTGAAATCTTCTTGTGGAATTTTTATAACAGCAGTGAAGGGTAAGCCTGTATAAGGAACGTTACCCAACAACAGCTCCTACTTAACAAGTCTCCAAGTCCTAAAGCTGTGTGCTATTGTTTTGTGCTGATAAACCATCCTGTGTATGTACTCAATTCTTTTTTTTCCACTAAAAACCCAAACTGTGGGCCAGGGGAGATCAAGATGAGGTTTTCATTTTATTCAGAGCTCTGGAATCCAGCCCACTGGAACTTGTATTTTTTGAAGCTCTAATAATTAACATGCCCGCATTCCTTAAACTGCAGCACTCACCGAAGTGTGCTTCCTGCAGAGCCAAATGAGGGCAAGGACATTGTCAGAGCAGCAGGCAGAAAAGCATGGCAACCCTTCCTGGAAGGATTCTGGCTGGTGTGGGGCTGACTGAAGAAGAAGAGGAGTCACCTGAACTGGGAGTGGCCAGAAGGCTCCTGGCCCCTTTACAAATACAGGAGGTACGTGTGATGTGGCTCTCTTTAGTCCTCTTTTTTTAACTTATCTAAGAAATAGTCTCTTTCTCACCCCAGGGCTGTGCTTACCGTAGACATGCTTGGTGTTAATCCAAATCTGGAAGCAGATTTAAGAGATTTCTCTTGATCCCCCAAAAAAGCTGTGATTTCTAACAACTGTTGTGAGGATACGACTTCTTTTCCCAGACCACTTCCTCCCTCATGGGAAAGGAGGACACGTGAGGCCCTAATAGTGACCTAACAAAGACTGTCCTCTGAATCAGCTCCTGGATAAGCAGAAATCACCTGGAAATTGTAAAAGAAAGGAGTGTCAGTAGGTGATGCTTCACACACATTATGTGGCCAAAAGAATCCTCCTCTGAAGTGCCAAGGAATCCATTTGGCCTTTCAATATGGCACAGTCATTGCTGACTTTGATTCACATGTGATGTCTTGGGGTCTGTAGTGTGACCATGACACACAGTTTACCTCATTTAGAGTTTTCTCAAGCTATGATCTCAGAAAAGTTGTGAAGTCCACTCCCTGTCCCAAGGAAGGATCAGCTAAACCAACATCACTTTGTCATAGAGATCTGTCTCGTCTGTTCTTAAATACCACCCATAATGAGCTCTCCAGACAAACTCTCCAGTGTTTTGTTTTCTTTTTTGTTGGAGAACTCCTTTCCCCAGATTTCTCGTACTGCAAATGAAGCATATCGCTTCTTATCCTGTCTACACTGGACCTGGAAAATAGTTTGTTCCTCTCCTATTCTTTTTGCAGCCTTATACACCAAAGATTGTTCTCAAGCCTCTTCTCAGCCCTTTTCTCTAAACAACTTGTTATTATTCTGTTATTCTTTCCCTGTATGTCAGGTTTTCTGAACCTCAGATTAGTTTCCATCGCTCCCCTCAGGGCTATCTCCATTTGGCTCCGTCTGTGAAGTGCGGAGTCCAAGTGGGGCAGAGTACTTCAGCTGAGCTCTTTCCCATGCTGAGAAGGGAAAGCATCTAACCTTTCTATGTGTTTCACAGTCCTACCAGCATTTGCCATTCCAGCACTTAGGCCAACAGCTGTTCCCCACTTTGAGGGTGAAGCAGAAATCTCTAAACCATAAGCTGAGCTAAGCAGGTACTCAAACATCCTGTTTTGGATAGTGCTGGCTCCAGGTGGACTGGTGGCTGAATCCACAGAGGGATCTCTCTTGGCTCCCCTTCTTTCTTTTCTGTCTGCTCAGAAAGGGTGGCAAGGTGTGGTTTGCCAAGGCAGGCTGCCAACAGCTGAAATTTCCTGTACAGCTGTAGAAATAAATAACTACTGAGCATGCCTGGTTCCCATCACACCCTTTCCCTGGCTCTGCTTTGCCCTTTCTGGCTGAAGCATCCTGCATTGCCATCTGCTTGTGGAGGGAGTCACCTAGGATTGCAGAGTACACTCCAAATCTCTTCCATCTCTCTTCTCATGCCCACTTTTTTTTTTTTTTTTTTTTTTTTTTTTTTGAAGTATACAGGTGAGATCTGTGGGATGTTTGGTGCTGCATGGCTCGTGCTCACCTCTCTTGATATGCTGGACTTTTTCCAGCATGACCTGCACAAAATCACAAAAGCAGTGGCTTGGCTACATGTGTGGGCTTCACAATGCCAGAGATGGCTTTTCCTGTGTCATGTTAACTAATTAAAAACATAAGGAAAGTGATGGAACAATCAATGCTTTGACTGTCCATGCTCTAGATGCTATTAGAGACTTCAGTTCCATAGCAATTGATTGAAAATATCCAGTGACTGATGATGCAAACATGCCATGATTTACTCTCACCATGGCCTTCATTTAGGTACCCAATGTCAATCTGTGGTACCATGCACAGTCTTTGAAAAGCAGCTTTTATAACTATTCTTTGCTGTAATGAAAACCAGAATTCTTTCAGGAACTGAACAGTAAAATTCTTAGGCATTTGTATTTCTAGCTAAACTTCCAGGACAAAATATTTAAGGCATATAGTGCAATTGGTTTTCATCTGAGAGATGGGATGGATGATGTCAGGATATAAAATATACATTATTCTTTGTATGTACAATTTTGTATTATGTAAGTAAATGTATTTTTAAAAATACAGTGGGAAATCTTTCAGTCAAAACAAATATTATGTTCTCTGTGTTTACCGAATCTAAGGATCTGCTCTTTCTGCCTTTTTATTTTAAATCTCTGTGGCTTGAACTTGATTTTCTAAGTTTCCATAAGACTGTCCAAATTGGTTTGCTCTTAGAGCCATATTTTAAAATTTATTTTCAATTTCTCTTGCAGTCTATCTAGTATTTATCTGCTCCAGGAAAAATTTTGACAGAGAGACTGGGTCATTTTTTAATTCAGTGTGTTTCTAGTGGCTTTTTAGTTCTTATAGATAGAGCATAATTGTATGTTGTTTAGCTTGCAGATGAGAACTTCACTTACAAGAAAAAAGGTAGAGACACAGAATTCCAACAGCAAACCAAAGCAATAACAATGCAATGAAATAATGCAAATATAATTGTGATGAACTTTCTGCATGAGATTTTATGGCTCATGTGATTAGCCATCCAGCTATTTTTAGGAGCCAGGGATGGAGACCAGTGGTGGGACCTGCTGGTAGAATGTGACACAGAGATAATGGCTTCTGGGTTGAAGTGCCTCACAGTAGTAGAACTCCAGGTCCTCTACTTAATACATGGGGGAAAGGGAATGGCAGCAGTGGTTCTCAGGAGGCAGGGGCAATATTTCCTATGGAATTAGCAGGCAGTCTGGATGGCAGATGCAGGCAGCCATTTGGTGTGCAGCAGGTTGGGACGACACAAACATTTTTGTCTTAAATTTTTTTTAAAAAATACATGAGTCACTCTACAGAAAACAGTTTTGTGGGCAGCAATGTTATCGAGGTCCAATACACAGCTTTCTGTCTTGTGGGTAAATCTTGTCTCATCTACAGTGCAAATGCCAATGAAACCTGTCCCAGATCTAGGATTCCCACAATGATTTGCATTCACTGACGTCTTGAACTGTTGTAATTTTCCAGTGGAGCTTCTCCTTGTTTCACTTTAACAATCTTGAGGAACTGAATACATTTGACATCTCTGCTCCTCTTAAAAGGCAGTTGAAGTTGGCTGTGTCCATAGCAGTTATTAGGGGAAGACACATATCATGATTACACTTTTTCAGTATCTAGGCCAAGAATAATAACAATACGAGTTTGCTGGGTAAAATCACATCAGGATGTTTTTAGATACAAACTCTCTAGGTTTGGCAAGATCTTGTTTGGAAAATAAATTATGCATTTTAGGAGTCTGATGTAAAGTCAACTGTCTGCAGATTCCTTCATAGGACAGATCTTTGCCTTCTGCTCTTCTCTGTATGAAGGACGGGTGATGAAAAAAGATACGCATTTACTTGTTTAGATTATAGGAAGTCAAAGGGAAATTTGTTGAGATGATTTATCTACTTTTAACACTATAACATTCTGTTATATACAGAATATTATATGTCCCATGTCAGAGGGAACTGATTCACTATTTTTAAAATTAACTACAGGATTCAACCTTTTCAATATTGAGTAAATCCTTAACACAGTAAGCAGTGCCTGCAGACATGTTTAGCACATGCTTCACTTGAAGTATCTCTTAGTTGCTGAAATAAGTCACCTGAATATCTTTGTAAAAATATACTTTGTTCTGCCTTTCAAAACAAAAGAACAAAATTTAAGTTAAGCAATAGTCAGAAATTCTTTGTACTATCTTACAGTGAATGCAAAGTACCCAGGGTTGCATCCAAAGTAGACAAAAACATGTAGTAGTTTAAGCAGATCTTTTGAGCAAAGTTTGGGTTTTTTAATTTCATGTCCTTACCTTGCCCTCCCCCTCCCCAAGATCACCCTCCCCCCGCACCCCAGGGCGGGGGAAAAAAAAAGTCAGGAAAATAAAATGTGCAGCAAACACTAAAAAACAGGAGCATGTTTTCAAAATTACAAAATTTTAATAGTCTGAAAACAATAGGTTGGAGAACTCCTCCAAAAAACTTGCTGGCACTCTGGTCACAGGTCAAAGAACTGGTAGATTTTAAAGCCAGAAGAGTTTATAAATATTTGTCTCTTTCAGCTTTCCTTATAGGACAAACTGCAGTATTTTCACCCTGCCGTTCTTGGTTTGTGCCTAGAATGGTTGAGCCAGGTGTGAAAAAATTCAGTACTGACAAAAACTTGAAGTAAATGCTTTATTTCCTCACAGTAGAAATTTGCATGCTTCACCATTTGAACTTATATAATTTATTTTTGTAGCCACAGAATCTTGTTATGCCATTATGTCCAGCATTAAAGCATCTGTCCTTGTAATGTGAACACCAGTACCTCACTGAGGTGAGGACATCAGCTCAGCAAAGTGAGATTAACACCAAAATGTGTGTCACAAGCTCAGAGGTTATCAACCTTTTCCAAAAACTGAAGCACCTCATGAAGCCCAGAAGTGGGGGATCTGTTGAGTTACCAGCAGCAGAGGTGAAAGATCAAGTTTTAGAACCAATTACTTGGTTTCCCGTGTGCCTCTCCTTAATAAGTCTATGAGAGACTGATTTAACACAGCCACCACACTGACACATAAGAGCTACATCTAAGGAGAGAGAAAAGAGTAGTTCAACTGTTTGTATCTTCTTTCCAGAGCTGGGAGAGCTGACAGAGACTGAGTGTGTCTGATCACTTCTATTACCAGAAACACGACCTGTCGTTTTTTGCTGGGATTACAAAGGTAACTAACGTGATTCTGTATCTTACGTGGTTGAAAATATGTTTTGAAAAATATGCTTGGTATCTCTCATCTCCTTTCTAGCATACAGAGTTAGCATAAATATGAAGTCTTAGGTAAGCAACAAATTTTGGTGAAAATTTCTCCATCTAGAAAGAGGGAAAAGGCAGAAAAGTATTCAAGAAATAGTTATAGTGACATTTTGATTTTGAAGCTCAGGATATCAGAGGACATCAATGATCTTCTAATACTGAAATGAAAAACTTTGAGCACACAGAATTCATTAATATTTTCTTTGTGAAGCCTCCAATTGATAGGTCTTTAGTACTTGGCCATTTTAATTTACATGGTGTGCTTGTTGGGGCTGTTGTGTGCAGGGCCAAGAGTTGGACTTGATGAATCTTTGTGGATCTCTTTCAACTCAGAAGATTCTGTGATTCTGTAATTTGTACTGTTTTTATTATAAACAGGAATGTAAGGTACTTTTCAGATGGAAAAGCAGAATCTGTACCCTAAAGGCATAGTTTCACAGACTTTCACCAAACATTAGCAGAGTTGTTGCTGAGTTTCTCTGAAGGTTAACATTTACTAGTAAATGTTTCAGTGTTTGCTGAATCCTGCTGTCTTCCATGTTCAGGCGAGTTCATCCCATGAACTTCACCACATTAGTAGAAATGTTCAAAAGACAGAATATTCAAATTATATGGATCCTTTACCCTCCTCTCATTCTTCCATCAAGCTCCAAGTACACATATTCCTTTTCCTTTGTCTTAAATACTCTCATGGAAAACAGTTAGTCTTTACTGAATAATTACTGTTTGTTTGGGGTTTTTCATAGATGTAATGCTTTATAGTATTTCCTCCTTGAGAACAATTTGGGGAGATACTTCTACAGAATAATTCAGATACAAGTTTTTGTAACAATAAGGATAGATGGTTGGCTTTGATGGATAAGCATTCCTGTCTGGTAACACATGCAAAACTTACTGGGAACTTAGAACTTCAGGTTCACCCCATGAAGGGCATAGGTGTTCAAACTGGAACTACCAAAATACAAAGCCACAAAACCTGCACTTTGCTCCACCTGGTCCTGTAGTCATCAAGTTCATCTCTTTTTGAAGTGTCTGGATTTCTATTCTGCACACCTCTGGCTGGAGCCTCAGAAGCACTCACTTTTCTGACAATGCCCTCAGAAGGGCCCCAGTACAGTCACAAGCTGAGCACCTTTAACGCGAAGCCAGTTGGATCAGGCCAGCGTAAACATGGATTCGACTCCCTCAAATAGTGCTTACTGGGACCATGTGCCACTTCTCACATTAAGCTGAGGGCACCCACCCTATATATGCGTATATGTATATATGCATATGTCTGTTGTTTATTGAAAAGAAGCTACAAATGACCTCTGGCACAGATACCAAGACCAGAACTCTCCTCCCAAATGACTGCCCTGACCACTTAGACCCAGGTAGGCTCTGTCCTGCACTTACTGTATATGACTTGACTTTTCTCTAACCTGAGAAAAAGCCTGAGCTTTCTGGGAGGCAGGATGGCTGCAGGAAGCCATGGGACACATGGCTCTGAAGAGACCAGATCAAGTCATGCTGGGCTTGATAGCTGTCCTAACAGGCGTGTAGGGCAGCTCCGGTCACTGCCCAGGCTTCGGCAGTGACTCCCAGGACATGTCAGCTGGGGTAGCTTGCTGTCCAGGGTCTAAATCTGGTGAGGTGGGCAGCAGCTTTTCCTGCAGCCATCAAGCATTCCATTCAAAAAAGGAAAGATCAAATGGTGCAGTTTCATCATTTGTAGGGAAGTAGGGAAGAAAGGGAATGTAATGAAAAATGGGGAAATTAGAGTCTTGTTGCATGTGTGGGTCAGTCTTCTTGTTTGTTTTCAACCACTTAATTAGAAAAGAACACATTAAAATTGGTCAATGATTCAAAGACAATGTATTCTTCTATTTTCAGGGGAAGTTTGGAAAAGTTCAGGTGACAGGGAAAATTTGAGTTATGCCCATGTGGGTGCGACTGAAATCAGAGGGTTTTGCATCCTACAAGGTAAGTTAACACACACAGCTTAGTGCATCATTTCTCTAGTGGAGATGGGGCCATTTGTGTGTGTGTTTGCCATGTCACTTGCTTTTCACTAGTTTTGGTTTTCAACAGTTTTGGTTTAACCCATCTACTGACAGCTATAGTATCCACTATCCTGGAGCAGGAAAACAGAATGCTTTTCAGTTTACTGAATCTGTCTCCTCTTGTACACATTACTGCTTGCTTTGATGGTCCTTTGGTGCAGCAGCAGTCATGTCAATAAAAATGAGGAAAGCATCAAAATTCCCTACTGCAGGCAGAGACTTGCACACAATAACTAAACTGGATTTGTCCAAACTTCTGCCTTTTCATTCTTTCTCAGATGTTTTGTGGGGAAGTTGTTTGTGTTCCGACAAGCAAACTATTGTTTGTTTGTTTGTTTGTTTTTAAAGCGTTAGGTATTTTTAAAAGTTCATTTTTTATGCTCCAATGACTACCCAAATTGCTACTATCCATTAGTATTTGCCTGGAGGATTAGGACTAACATTTAGAATAAAGTGCCTGGAGTGTCTCTTTGATTATTACAGAACTACCACATGAAGTATTATTTGGTGGCAATTTTATGATGTGCCTAAGTGGAATGAAATGACAATTCTATTAAAAAAGGAATGCACCCAAGGATAGTGCAATGGGACCCTGATACAAATGTTTTGCAATAGGACACATTCTCATGAAGTGATTTAGTGTCTCAGCTGGGACTTAACTCCCAAGGAGAATTCCAGAATTGTCACTTACTGACACTGGTTTATTTTCAGTGGAGAATGCTGACTTCTCAGAAAAGGAAGAGGGGCAAGAACCATCTCATTTGTTTTCTCCCTGTGTTTGGTGGGTCAGAGCAAAGCTATTTGGGGGCAATTGTGCTGCATTCCTTGTCAGATACTCATTCCTCAAGTGCTGAGCAGGGAATTTTAGTGCTTTCACTTGGGCTAGTTAAAAATAATAAATTGTATCAGAGGCTAGGAGATGCATTTTATATGTCTCTTGTAAATCTTGCAGTCAAAAATCTCCATGAGCTGTGCAAATGTGCTGCAATCCTGTTAACATCTGGCAAGCAACAAACGGGAAAAAAACCAGTTTAAAAAAAATCTTTAGCATAATATTGCAAGGCAAGTTTTTAATTAGCTGGGGTTTTTTTTCCCCCTGTATTTTGTATAGGCCTGAAGTGATCAGCAATTTCTTTGTCAGAAAATCTGCTGCTTCCATTAACAGTTGTGGTTACAGTGTAACTCCAGCTACCAGACTGTTGTGTTTGAAATGAATTGTCATTGCTGCATTTCTGAAAACAGCTCTTGAGACTGATGGGAGTGGTGCAAGCTTGCAGGATCACGTGGGTACACAGTCAGCATGTGCCAGCAGGTGATGTAAAGATGAATGACTCCTTGAATTTCATGTGACAAGGAATGTAAATCAGGTAAGTCACAGGCAGAAACACTCATTTCTGGAGAGCTATGTCAAAACAGGAAACCATTTCAGTTCTAATTAATGAAATGAGAAAAGCCACCATTATTTTCCCAGAGGAGGATGTTTTTTAAATGATAAAGCATGTGCTATGGCTGCTGTCCTTGTATGTAAGTGTGTCCATCTATACACACACCTAAGCACAGAGGAAACTGATCCATTTCTTGTGTTTTTAACTCATGCCTAAGAAAAAGACAAATTCTAGTTTATAAACCAGACATATTTCTTTATTATAAATCCAAGTTAGAGTTAAAACATACTTTGAAATTTTTCACTGTTTGTGTCTTTTTGAGAAAAGATGTCCACGCTTCACACTCAGCAAATTTAGGTATCATTTAAGTGCCCTTTCTCATATGATAGAAAAGGCTTTCCAGGTGAATTTTCCATTGTATCTCAGGAGCACTGAAGATTGTCAGTACCTATTTTACTGACATAAGTATTTTACTTAGATATGTGTTTGTCTGCCTGGTACCCAGATGTTGCATCACGCAACAACGTGGCCTGAGAGCGGCCGGCACTTCTTCAGCCCAGAGCGCACAACTGAATCTCTAGGCAGACAATTAAGACAGGGGACAGGTCTTTGTATGGTGCTCCAGGAAGGGTTTATTTACTGAAGAGGGTCCAGGGACAAAGACAAAACTGGGTGGAGGATCCAGGATTATATGTGGATAAGAGGGGGTGGATCAGAGGTCATGATTCAATGGGAATAGGTAAAAGTGGTGCAGAGGCGGGGTTAGGGACAGGAACAATCGACAGAGAAACAGAGGTGGAGTACTTCACCAAACCAGGGTCAATAGGAATCAGGGGAAGGGAGAACATTCTGGGGATTAACCATAAAGGGCAAATGGGGGCAGAACAGGGATTACATCAATTTGTAGAACCAATAGAACATCGAACCTTGAGAACTATTTACACGTGTCTGCAAAGGTCCAAGGGAGGTACTTCTCACTGCAACCTAGAGTGGTGTGTCTCCTTTCCTGCCTCGGTCCTTCCAGAGCTGAGGCATCTGTATAACCAGCCCTGGGGCCTCCACACCCAGAACTGGTTGAATTAATGTAATGAATTAATGATTTAATTAATTAGTGAATTAATGTTTAACTTTAAACCCAGCATGAGCATAGCAGGGCTCAGGCTGGACACTTCTTGCGTGCCATGCACACCCCTGTGTGAGGTAACACACGGACTCCAGCAGGAGTTGCTGGCTGGGATGTGCAGGTTATGGCAATCCTAACTCATTGTATCAGTGTGTAAAGCCTGTGACAGTTTCTCTTTATACAGCAGTACTTTCTCATGATTTTAAAAGAATTTACTGACAACGTGGAGATCAGTTAATAGCATTTAAAAGTAATGAGCTTGCTAAAAGTGATGGGATAGATGTTCCTTGCATTGTCAGTTGAAAGGGGTCCATGGAAGAGGATGATTTTGGTTTCCCCATCTGCATTGTCTTCCCTTCCCAGCCCTGCACACAGTCTCTTGCTGCACAGGGATGGCAGAACTGGTGATTGTAGGGGTGTGTGCAGAGAAGTTTGGGCAGAAGGGCAAAAAAAGAAGGGGTGGAGATTGAAAGATAGTGAGCATTTTTTCCACTGCCTACAATCCTCCATGAGACAGCGTTTTGAGAGGATCCCAGCTCCTTGAAGATATTTGACTTCTCTAAAGGCTGCTGAGAAAGAAAGGGAGAAATAGAGAAGACCTACGTATCTCTACCAAATGGAATGTCTGACCCTGATGTGGTGGGAATGTCTCAATTTTGAATCTCCCTTAGGCAGCTTCAAAATACTGGAAACTCCAGTTGAGGGGCATTAGGGTTTATGGCTTTTGGGTTTTGGAGCAGGTAAGCTCCAAACTAAACTCCAACTAAGTAAGCCACTTGGGTATGAGATCCTTCTTCCTTGAAGGTGAACATGTAACTAAACACTGATGAATCAGGAGCTGAATTATCATAACATTTGTCAGTGATGTTCTTGTTTCACTGGAATGGAATGTGGTGTGACCAGTTTGATGAATATTGTCATACACTGAGTGACTGAGGGACTGGAACTGCTTAAAGTCCAAAGAGTCAACTGCAGAGCTTAAAGTAGCAAAATGCAACAGAAGTATTTGGGAGCTGAAGTTGTTGGAAGAAAGCACTCTCCAGTTTGTCTGTGCTTAGGCAATTTCTTCTTTCTTTTCCCTCACCATCTTCAAGGTTCTGCTGTGATAACTGTGCGGCATCACCGTCCTTCACTGTGCACTGCCTCTGCAGAGCCTTCTGAGCATCGAGATCAGGCAGGTGTATCTGTGTCAAGTCACAAAATATAGGGGGAGTTAAATCAGGACATTCTAAAGGTCTTAACAGATGCCAAGCAGCCATATTCAGAATTGCCAACACCTTTATTTTTATCTTACTCAGTTTGTTTTCAAGCTTGAACATGTGTGTACACTAAGATTAGAACTATTTGCATGCCAGGTTCCAGAGTGCAGTTATTTTTGAGTTAACTCCATAATTTTTTTTCTATTTTTTTTTTTTTTTAAAGTGTTTGGCATTTGATCTGGAGAAGAAACGGAGATGATTTCATTTAAAGCAGAAATAAAAGACACTTTTCCTTTCAAACTGATTAATTAAACAAAGAAAAGGCAAAGCTGTGCATGGACATCAAGCACAAAAAAAGAAGGTGGTATTCTCTGTTGCCTTCCTCCCTTCTCCAAAGGTAAAAATTAATCTAATTTCTTGATCCATGAGAGCTGGTCCTCGTTGCCATTATGTGATGTCTGCTATACAAGGAATCTGCAGCGCTGCAAGGGAAGTTATGGCCCAATGCACTAGTGCCCCACACTTCTATACCAACATTTATCTATTTTATGTTTTTATAGTTTTCCAGTTCCCAGACAGACTGAAGTACACTTGAATCAAATATCCAGCTAAACTTTCCTGATATGTAAGATATTTAAAGGGTAGATACCATATGTCTTACAGTTAACGTCTGCTTGCAGATGTAGGTTATATGTTTGTGCATGGAAAAACAGGGCTTTCCACTCAACTAATAGATTTCTTAATAAGACTACTGATGGCATAATCTATCTTTAATAGTCCAATGGCTATGAATTCTTCTTAGGCCTAATCCTGAATTTATAGGATTTTTATAAGTGAATGTCAGAACAGGAAGAAATGTTCTGTAGATTCAGGGAAGCAGTACAGCCACTCACTGTGGCTGCTACTGTGTTAGGCTGTCTGCAGTTACAGCCAGGTCCCTGTAGAAGAGGGTCTCTATTTCTATTTGATTATTAAAAACAGTGGTCCAGATGCAACATCTGGCTCAGGAAATCCTTAAACTCCTGATTGTCGAAAATGCAGAGGATATTAAGAGAGGGAGGGGGATGTGTGGAGAGGGAATCACTTTGCATGCACCCTCTTCTTATATTCTTTTCCTAAGCATCTGCCTTTGTCTGCTGTCAAAGGCAGGATATTGGGCTGGATGGACCTTTCATCTACCCCGGGATGGCAGTGTTCTGTGTCTGGGAGGTGGAGTGGGCTGTGAAACCCCATTATCCAGGATCTGATGATCCCAAATGTGACTTTTCCCTCCTGACTAAACCTTTATGGCTGTAGTGCTTCATCTGCTTTCCCCAAATCCTGCTCACAGCATAGAGTGCAGCATAGGGGGAGGGAAAGAGGTGGCCCCCTCCTTAAGGGCTGTGTATTTTTATGTATTTATTTTGGCTTGGATGGAGATTTTTTTTTTTCTTTTCCCCTCTGAATAGGGAATTCAGAAAAGTGACATCATTTTTAATCCCTGACAGTTTATGGGCTTTGAAAAAGATTCTGGATAATACTGAGCAATTAAGATGCCATTTTAATAGTTCTTTCAAGTGAAATCAAGTGAGTAATTAAATAAAATTGAATGAGGACCATGTCAGGCCACCCACAAGCTCTCATATCCGCTACAAGCAGATGAATAAGTTAGAGTGTGGGATAAATGCTGTGTCTAAGTGGTCCTATTTATGTGTTATTGGATGACTCTAGGAATGAAGCTTTCAGCTGGAAGATTTGTTTCCTTTGAACAATGTTTTCAAGCAAGAACATGCAAGATTGTCAATTGCTATTCAAACAGCAGTAACTTTCCCATCTTTTTAAATTTTTTGTGGTAGTGCTAATGCCATTGTTTTGTATAGATGGTCTGCTGTAAAAGTCACAGAACATAAACAGGATTTTTTTGCATTAAATGCTGGATTAGAATTTCTGCTTCCTAGTTATTATGATATATTCCTAGTATGATGATATATGAATGCATTTTGAAAGTTGCTTTAGTCTGCAAGCGTGGGGTATGGCATTACACGTGGTTTGTATTCATTCTACACAGATAAAAAAAGCAAAGTGCAGACAAAGGGAAAACAAGTAATTTTGAGATATACAGTCCAATAACTAAGTAGGTAATGGAAAATGGTATCTCTCAGTTGTAGATCAGTTAATTTTCTTAGGGTGAAAAAAACTTTTTAGGCATTTCCAATGTTAAATTTTGTGCAAGGATTTCTCACTATAATTAGAAGTATATATAATTAGATTATTTCCAAAGTCTGTTCTTTGTACTTTAAGTGGGATTCCTAACCCTGTCTTAGATCTATGCAAAATATTGATAAAATATTGATGTTTTAAAAATGTCCCATTTGAAGTTAAGACAGAGATATTAATACCATGACACAGGATAAGAGCCTTGAAAACTTGCCTTGCATCTACAGCATTATTTTTACTGAAATGCACACGGGGGAGGCAGCGGTTAAAAGCAAGAGCCAAAATAATCTCCTTGTATTTCACATTTAGATTCACAGAAAAATTGATATTATTCCTCAAGAATTTCCTCTGTAGGATACCATCTGAGCACAGCTGATGGAGTGGGTACCAGACACGCTCCCGGTTCACCCCACACAAACTTGTTTTCCCCTTCATCTCAGGGAATGAATGGATCACTGCTCCATCCCTGTGGCTGCTACCCTGGCGCAAATACATGCCTGCTGTTTTCTTTCTCTCCTAAAACATGCTTTTCTGGTTTTACTTTAAATTTGGGACAATACAAGCCCCCTCTGGTGGTCAAAATATCTTCTGTAGATTTCTGCAGTATTTCACTCTAAAGATGTTTTGCTGAGGGGCCAAAATGTCTGCTTTACATTTTAAAGTAATACGACCATAGCTAGTTCGTTTTTCTAAGAAAACCACTGGAACGAGCCAAAACTGGAGGAGAAAAATGCGTAGGAGAGGTGTTCCAGTGTGTGTCAGGTCCCAGGAATGTGGTCAGTGACACTGACGGGTGCACACAGAGAGGAGCTGCAAAATTCATTGCGCCAACTCTCGCTGCCCAGCTGGCGCGGAAAAGTAGGGATGCTGCTGGAATGCCAGGGCTGGGTCTGCTGCCGGAGGCAGGACAGCGCCTTAGGGAGAAATGGGAAACAAAATGTCACTGCCGAGGAAAAGATACCCGTTAAATTTCACAGGCTGCCCTTTCTCTGAACACTGGAAACCACAGGCATACTGGATGTGGCGTGCTGAGGTACAGAAAGCAAGCGTGGGTTGATTTAGTGCTTTCAATGCCTCTTCTTAATTTGGTAGAGTTGTGCTAAAAATACCCAAACATTTGGACTTACAAGAGGGTTATGATATGCAAAATTTAAATTTAGAGGAAGACTTTTCTAATCACTTTTCCTTTTCCTGTAACACATTTCCATGTGGAAAAGTGGTATTTCCCTTCGCTGTTGTGTTGGTGTTGTCCTCTGTGGCAAGGTATTTCAGCAGCATCTGATTTCCTAGAGGTTGAGACAGTTTCTGAAACTGCGGGGGAAATCAAACAGTGTTTGAAATCACTGTCTTTAATCTTTAAAAGCAACTATCATCTGTGTCATCAGGAAGATAATCCCAATGGCTATCCAAAATCAGTCTCAACAGACACTAGACAGGGCTTCTCCTTCCCTTCTGAATCTGGCTGATTCTCACACATTGCACAAGCTTCCACTGGCATTTCCTAGCCTGTTCCCTAAGCCCGGGACTTGACTTTCTGTCTGCTGCCTCCCAGCAGCCACACATACCATCTGCCACTCAAAGGATAAAAGAGTCCTGTCAACACAACAGCTGACCAAGAAAAGGAGTAATTCACCAATGTGTTTATTCGCTGAAGAGCACTCGATCAATTCTATCATTGGTGACAAAGAGGATTTAATAGGAACATACAATAATTCTGTTGTTGTTTTAAAACCCCACTAGCCACAATAATGGCTGCTGAAGCACTTATCATTGTCATGTGATTCCTATTAGCCTATTCTCAAGGAAACCAAGGAAGAGGGATTGTGCTGTTTCACAAAAATACATTTAATTGCTGTTGAAGAGTTTGTAATTGAAAGTGTTGGCTTCCCAGAATCCCCTGCTTTTCTTCATCTCCTAGTAGCTCCTCTGCATACCTCTGGACTGCAAAAACATCACTCTGTGCCTTAAATCCACTGTGACTCTTTAAAACTGCTAGCAGGGGTCATCCTGGCCAAAGGCTTCTGGTTGTGGCTTTTTTCTGCAGTAAGTCTGAAGGCCCAGCACAATTTGCTGGTAGGTTTGTACTGTCAGTAGCTGTGTGCTGCCATCAGGAAAGAGACAAGCCGCCAGAGTAGCTGGACTGCTTGGAGTTTAGGGTATGGGGGTTTTATTCCAGTTTAATTAATTTCTATGTCATAAATAGATATTTCCAAAGTAGAAAGTTAGAAATGGGCATGAAAATTTTTATTTGTTCTTTCCAATGTAGGATTAAGAAAAGAATATTTTTAATGAGATTTCTCACTGTTATACAGCTACAGCCATTTACCATGTGAATAAACTATACTTGTTCACAGGGTTGTGAAAAGGATAATGGCTTTAAGAAAGACAATTAAAATGAGGTTATGGCCACTTTGAACTTTTTTTCAAAATTTCAAATGCTATATTACATTCAAATATAGGTTTTTTCACCTTAAGAAATTAAGATATTATTCATATTCAACCTTCAGAGTCCTCCTCCTTTAGTGAATTGAAACAGTTGTTCTCAAAGTCTTATTTATGTATCAGACTCTGAAGCCAGTCCTTAACCTCCTTTTGATGAGCTATATAGTTTTAATTAATGGACTTTCTCATAGATGATGTTTATTTTCCAGGTAACTGAGTAGCAATGCTCCAGCTGCATGAAATGGAAGTGTTAAGGTGCAACTCCTGCCAAGACTTGTGGCATGGTTATGGAAAAGCCGAGTGACCAACCCACCTTCTATCATGGCCATGTTTCACCTTCCATGCAGTGAGTAGTGGGATTCCTAGGACACCAATCTTGTCTTCTTCTGATTATTCTTGGAATTCCCCTTTGCTGGCTTTTGTTCAAGCAATGATTTTGGTACAGAGCTTATACGACAACGAACATTGGTCATGTCCACGTTAAACATTCTTGTGACTTTTCTCTGAAGTTACTATAATTTATCAGTATCCCTTTTGAACTGCAGGCACTAGGCCAGGACAGTATTCCAGCAGTATTTGCTCAGGACTGTGTGCAGACATCCGATAGGCATCCTACTGGATACACCCCTGGGTATCTGCTCATGTATCCAAGAGCAGCATTGTCTCTTTTAGCAGCGTGTCACACTGGGAGCTCCTGTTCAGCTGACAGAGCAGCATGACTCCAATATGTTTCCAGCGACCTAAGGCTCATGAAAGAGATCCCTTTTATTCCCAACTTCAGTTAATCATGAAGGGAAACAAGATTACATTGAGGTCTTTTTAACCTTTTTTTTTTTTTTTCCTGGAGACTAGCTTCATTCCTGTGCCCCAGAAACAAAGACCTTAGGTATGAATGGCTAGATGGCTGAAAAGATCCATTCTCTTTCTTTGTTCAGGCAATATATAACAGATGCCAGCAAAGGTATTGAAAGAACTTTTGGTATGGGCATATGCATTCCTTTGACTGGGTGCTTGCATGCAAGGAAGTTTATGTACTTATGATAGTAAGAGCTGATATTTGAATACTATCCTTGCTGCAAACTATTAATTAAAGTTGAACAGGACTACCCTATTTATCCTGCTGCTGGTACTGAGAGCTGCTCCAAAACTGTTCAAAAGATCAGTGAAAAAAAAATGCTAAGAAAAATACAGTATGCAAGTGAGTCATGGGCAGAGTGTAAAGGGCGTGTATATCCAAGCTGCTGTGAGGTTCCTAATTACTGTAAGATAGTGTATTCATGTGACAGAATCTGGCTGAGATTCTCCATCCTTCTTCCTCATTACTACTGTTGGCATCTCCCCAGGCTTCTGCCAGGGAAATCCAGCCCAAGGTGCTGTGTGCTGCATCCCCAGCAACCTGAACATCAGAGGCTGATAAAGATGTCAGGACACGATCAAGGGACAGAAAGAATTAAGTAAGGAATTTCACAGCCACACATGAGGGTGGTGCTGAGGAAGAGGGGATAGAGACACAAAGGATTTTTCAAAAGAAGTGCCCAGCTTACTGGCAAGATCAGCTGAGGACAGAAAAGGAAGTTGAGTTGAGCTGGTAGATCTAAACAAAACAAGCCAGAAGCCGGGCTATAACATAAGGATGACCCTCCATAGCAGCAAGCAAATGAAGGCAGAAGCATGCACAGGCTACATTGCTTCATGTAGTGCTCTGTGCTTAGCAGGCTCCCGACTCATCCTCTGTGCCAGAGGATTTTCCTGGCTAAAGCAGTCTGCTGGCAGATGCTCCCCCACCTCAGACCCAGAGATACCATCTCCCAAACAGCCTTGTGACTAAGAGGAGGATGACTGTATTATCACTAGGGTATCCTGAAAAATACAGATAGGAATGCTAGTTACAGGAAAAGCTTTGCAGATTGCCATGCTCACAGGAACAGAGAGCTTTAGTCTGTGAGGTTACTCACAGTGAGATTTTCCCTTAAGGACAGGGCTTACTTCAAACCAACAGTCTGTAATACCAAGGTAGGAAAAAGTAAAACAACACTCCCTATTAAAGCTACATTTGGAAAGCATCTTCTTCAAGGCCTTCATGGGCCCATGATGCTGCAGGCCACAGTACCACAGCTGTACTGGGCACTCAGAGACATTGTACGTGGCTTTTCAGCCCAACCAGAACACCTGCCTTGGTAGAGACAGCTTCCCAGCCAGGATGGCAGGATTGCTCTCTTTCTGTCTGCCTGTCCCGTTTTTCAGGGCAGTGGAATATCACATGGTACTAAGGGGACTATGTCATATCTTCTCTCTTCCTCCTGCCTGCTTCCCACCCTTAAGTTCACTTGATTAATATTTCTATTGTGTACTTTAATTAGCACAGTCCTGACTACAGGCTACCTTTCCCTTTTCCTGGCCTCTTTTAATCACAGCAGTTTATATAATATACATTATTTTTAAAATGTTAATTGTGCAAGGACCTTTTAGGACTTGTAATGTTTAGCTTACTGTGACCTTTGCACAGGATCTGCCTGTGATATACATTCAGCATACACCAGTTTGTGGTGGCAGGCTGCCAAAACTACCCTGCCTCTTTTCACCTCTTCCCTTTACAGTTAAATTTCTGGGAAACCCTGCCACAGGTGTTAGAGCAGTGAAACCTTATCTGTACCTGTTCCTTAACACCTATCCTGTGCTGTGCCAAACAAAAAGGTTGCCTTTGATTGGCATCTGAGAAGGTGTGCATTTATGGCACAGCAGAGGCTGAGAACAGGGACTAGTCCAGTGAACTGGAGTAGAGGTTTCCATCTCTCAGGAGGGGTGCAAAGAGGGGCTCATGTGCCAAGGGGTTTGCCAGCTGCTCGAGGTGAGACGTGCCTCCAGTGACTTCCTGCCGCTCTAAACTCTGAACTCCTTCAGCAGCCTGAGCCACATGGGTGGGTGCAGGCACTGGCATGCCCACTGACCAAGTTCACTCTGTTCTTCACCATCTGTAATGTGAGATAACACCTATTGAGATGTACCAATGATAAAGCAATCATGACAGTGACAATTATGTCATTTCACAGTGTCAACCTAAGCATGCAGTGACTGAGACGGACCTCAAAAAAGGATGACCTCTGGCAGTGAAAAAAAGAAAAAGCAACAGTGAGCAGCTGGGAGGGTGCCCAGGAGCTTCAGTCTCTGACCCAGTTCAGTTGCAGATAGAGCAACACACCCAGGCAAAGCCTCATTAACATCTTTATAAATTTCTGCAGTATCTGGGTGTTGTCTGAAGGTTTGCCTTGAGCACGCCCACACAACTGAGCCTCAGCTGAGTTGGGCTGTAGAATATACAGGGAAAAGTAACAATGCTTCTTTTTAAGAAATAGATATCAGCATCTGAAATAAGTCACTGTGCTTGACTTAGCCAAACCAAATTCCTGGTGTCTGGAGTTTTGTCTATCTGGTGATAGCAGGATTAGATACAATATGCATGAATATACTGCGCGACCATGCAAAACCAAATAGTGCCGCAAAGTTAATTGTGGCTTAATTAATACAGTCTGCTGCTCCATGCTCCACCAAGTTTTTGATTATTTGTCCATCTTTAGATTTCCAACAAAGCATTCCTGCACTGTTGGATGCCCTCAGAAAAAGAAGAAAAAATGTATCTTCCTTTCCATTTTGGAAGTTTGGCTTGATTTCAAGCCATTTTATTCAATAAAATAAATTTTTTAAGTTTATTAACAACACATTTGGCATGTCCATTTTTCAAGACTTTTTTAAGATTCTAAATTTTTGTGAATTTTGAAGTGAAGAACACTGATTCTTTTTTAGACATAGCATAGAAAAATAAAGCAGTTTGAAAAGATGTTTTAGTTAAGGACATAAACATGTTTCTGAAATATTAAACTTACTTGTAATGTTTGTTGAACAATTTCAATTTCATGTCTCAAACTCCAGCTTTTAAAAACATATCTATCTTAACTACAAGATGGTACTTTTGCCCACTCACAACATTTGACACTGGGTATTTTTTTCCTCGTGGTTATTTGGTGTAAAAGGCTAAAAATAAAAGCATATTGTTCTGAGCATTGTGGACAGCTTTTCCAGACAGGGAAAACTGGGAGTTTTATGACTTAGGAAAGCAGAGTTCCCATAGGGCTGGTCTGCTTTTTTTCCACTCTTCCCTTTAGGATTTTCTGAAAACATTTCACTTACCGTTGACTCTGCAGTTGTTTTACAGTCTCGTATTTTTAGGGTTTTGTGCGCACATCCCACGTGCACGTCCCATGCACAGAGAGGTATCAGGGCACACTTCCGTACGATCTCTCACTCGGATGTCACCAAAGATTGAAACTGGTGGAGGGGCCTGCTTTTGGTTTTCCCCTTTCTAACACCAGACAGAAATTTGCTCTCTGCTTAGAATGGGTTAAGGTGAGTGTTCAGGGGGCAGCAGTCCTGGGCAAGCAGCTCTGGCAAGGAGGGGAGCCCTTGGAGGTGTCTGCTCCAGCCTGGGGTGTTTTCTCATCCAGCTCCCAGGGCTGTGCCCCGGCCAAAAGCCTGGGTCCTCCCATCATTGCCCAGAGCAAAAGCTAAGCAGAAGCAGTGCAGCAAGGTTTGAAAGGGTGAAACATGCCTTTGTCTGCTCCCTTGTTATCCTGAACAGCTGGGTTAGAGCTGCAGGCAGCCCACGGCCATGAATGGCAATATTAACTTTAAAAAGAAAATCCTAGTTTTGATTGGCTGAGCCAGCTGTCTGATGGCACAGCTTTCCAGCAACTTAGAATTTCTTTGTAATTAGGGAATTGTTGCAAAATAGGGAACAATAACATTATATGAAGACTGATACTTAAACTGGTATGGCCAAATTTACCTTCAAGTTGTATCTAAATTAATAATCTAATTTTGAAAGGAAATCAGAACCTAACAGACAGCTGCTGTGACTTTTGTTAAACTGTTTTAGAAAGAGTCAGATTATAATTTTTTTGAGTATTTGGTCACTTGATAGTTTATTCTTAGAGTATACTTCTGCTCATTGCTAATTTTTTTTTTTTACCTAGCAGTTTAACTGGTAAATGTACGGATGTCTTAAAACTTAAACCACATTAAAAGTATTTTGTTTTCAAAAGAGGGGTCCAGCGTGAATTTCATGTTCAATACATGAGCTAGGATGTGATTAATTGTCAAGTAACTGTATGTCAATATTTCATGAGTTCTTAAACAGATAAACTTCACTGTCAGACTAAACATTCTAATATTTGGTGTTTTCTAAAATGTTATTGATGTTTGTTTGCTCTAATATATCTAATTATAAAAGTCTTAATTCCACATTATTTAAATATTTTGTTAAGGCTATGTTATTTAAAAGTTTTTTTAGGGCTGAAGCTTAGTTATTTAACTGATAAATCTGTTAGTCTAGTTAATAATTCTTAAACATCACACCTTTTTTAGTGGTTTAAGACAGAATTGTTGTCCACACCTCTGTAAAAGAAATTTCTATGAGCAATTACAAGGTATTAGGAAGTACACAGGATATAAAGTCCTGTATAAACATAGAAGTTGTTATTAATCTGTAATAGACTTGCAGATAACTCGATGTCTGTGTTATCCACTCAGGAAAAGCCTGAACTTTGCTAAGGTGGAAAGAAAATTCTCACACAGAAAGCAGGGAGTCGGTACAAAGTGATGGTGCATAAATGGAGCCTGGGATATTAGAAGAGAGTGTCAGCTTCATAAAGAAGTGTTGGGGCAATGAAAATGAGGCTGCAAAAATGACACTGGTATGCCTCTGCCCCAGGGCTGACTTAGGGTTGCTCCTAAGAATAAGGACTGCACTGCTGGCAGCCTCACCCTTTCCATCTTGTTCTAGCGTAATGAAAGGGGCTGGCTTCCTTCCTGTCCTGCTAAGCTTCCATTTACCTGGGCATGGTACTCAGGAGAACTGAGAATAATTCTGAGGACAATAATTCTGCCAATGTTTCCAGCAGGGCAGGAAAAGAGACAGACACATGAGTGGAAAAGTGTTAAGACTGCAAAGCTCAGGCATCTTTGTATTCCAGCTCCTCAAATTTAAAAGGACACCTAAGCAATACTTGAGTTCTTTGCTGGATCAAAAGGTACATGCACTTTGTACATGCAAGAAGTGTTTTGTGCCCGCCCCTTCTTCCCTGAATGTATTTTCTCACACTGTCCTGGAAGTTCCCCCTGCTCCTTTCACGGTCTGCCCTTCACGTTCCCTCTGATCCCATGCCACCCATCCCATTTGAGAGGCTGCATGTCTCTCCCCTCTGTGCTGCTGCTTGTCCTTGTAAGGTGGGAGCAGGCTGTGGTGGGGTGCAGCAGCTGTGCTGTGCCCGGGGCTGTGGCAGTGGGCAGCTTTCACACTTCAGGCTGAGCCCCTGCCCCAAAACACAACCAGCTGTGCCTGCGAGACACGGGAACCCTGTTGGGCTTTCAGCCCCCTAAATGGCTGCACACTTGAAGTCCACTGTGCCTAATTAAACCCTTTTCCAGCACACCAGGGGAAAAAAAACCCAAGTAATATCCTACATCCTTTTGCCACCCAAACTGCTGTGTGCAGTTAGTTAGAAAGTCCAGTGTTGGCCTTGCTTTCCTGGACTTTTCCCCAGTGTAAAATGGGGGTACAGCTGTGCCAGTGTGTTGAAATCTGTAAATGAAAAATGTTGCATAGGTGTGAGTATTATTAGCTGCTTAATAGAACTAGTCAGTCTTAAAAATTAACCTGATACAATGAGCCACAGTGGGGTCAGCTTCAACCCAGATAAATCGATGTTTTTTGCTGAGAACTGCTGAAGTACAAGAAAAAAAAAATTGCTGTAGCATTCCTGTAACTCCATCAAAAATTCTGTCTACCTGAGTCAAATGCAGCAGAGACCAAGGCTGAAAAGATCACTTTTTGGCTCACATTTTTTCAGTGTCTCTTTCTAAAAAAATGTAATTTTGAACAGCTAAGCATCTTTTCTTTCTCTTTGAGCCTCACAGAGATTTCCTGACAGGTGAGTACATCCTACCAGACCTACTGGCAGCTGTGTGCCCAGCACCTTTGTCCCACACAGACACTTTCATTCAGTCAGGATGACAAAATCAGTTATGGAGACCAGCAAAGCAGAAGTATGATTTGCCATCAAAAAATAAGCTTGGAATGAACATGCCACCAAAATCTTTCTGTCTCACAACTGCTCACTGAAAGTGCCCATGTGCATCATGACTGTGATCCATGTAGAGTTATGGAGGGGAAACCTGTGAGGATAAGGTGGGAAAACATGTGGGGTTTTCCAAGTGAACTTCTCTGGGCTGAGGAACACCAGGCTATATGTGTTCAAACAGTGTATATCACAACTGCAATTAACAGGGCTTCTAACAGGGACAAATGTGGGGGTTTTTTCTCCACTACCTACCTACACTGTTACTTGTTGGTACAGTCCCCTAATCCCTTTTCCTCTGACTCTGTAACACCTCATAAAACAAAGTGCTTGGTTGACTTGCTGGCTTGTAACAATGAAACTGGTATATGCAACTTAGAGATTTTTTTCTTTGCCTTTTTTATTTGTTTGTGTTCCACCTGCCACGTCTGAATCCACAGGCTACTCTACAGCATTTCTGCTGAATTTCCAAGATTTTTTTCCCTAAGTGCCAGTTAATTGTGCCTAAGCTTTAGTTTGATGATTGTATAAAAAGTAACAACTAATAGAGAAATAATACACTGAATACTTTTCTGTAGTATCTAGAGAGGTACCAAAAAAATTTGTACTGATTTTTCCTAAAGAACTTGGAAACAAAACAGTGTAGCCATTGTATTTCAAACATTAGAGCAATTGTTCAGTATGTGTGGTGCAAGTCTAAATTTCTGTGTCAGAACACCATGCCAGCTCTGAGTTTCTGTAAATTGTGGTTCTGTGGGCATGCACATGTTTAAACAAGTGCTTTCCTATCTCCAGGTTATACAGTCATATTTATGTATATGGTTTGGAAAAGCCAGACAACACTCTAAAGCAATAAAAGGGAACCCAAATTATGTGCTTGGCTTTCACACCATTGTACTTTTAAAACAAAGCAAAACCTGTTATGGGGCTTTGATTTTTCCTCTAAGTACATTAGCATGTCTTATATAAAAATCCTAATGAATTAATTCTTGTATATCATAAAACGTAAAGGTAGAAAAAAGACCTAGCAAAACAAAGAGATAAACAGAGAATAATTAATTGCCGGCAGTAGAAAGTGTTTTGTGCTATAGTTTGTGTTACTTCAGTATGCTTGTAATCCTGTGGCTTTAAACATCTTTAAATTACAGGTTTATGCAACCAGAATATTGGTGTAACTCCTTTTGGACTACTACTGAAGGTCAGGAGAATATCATTCATCTTCCACAATGCCTGGACATCAGCAGCTACGCTTCTGGAAATATCCTGGAAAATGAAACTTTGAGAACATTCCAAGCAGTTCAGAGGGATTATTATATTTGACAAGATTCTCTTAACAATACACAAACCTTTGTGCACATACCACCATAATACCCAATAAAAATCAAAGGCCCCCCCCTTGGGACTGCTCTGCTTGCTGTGCACAGTATTTCAGATGGGCTGGCAATATGAGGATTCAGCACTACAGTGAAAACCAGCTCATGGTTTCTCACCCATTATTTTCAGTTTAAGCATTCTTTGTTACTTTGAATTTTATTTTCTTACTTCTGAAGAAAGGTTTCTCATGTACCCTCCTAACATAACACCTAGCCCTGGGAGATGCTAATCACTGTACTGTACGTCCCTCTTTGGATAAAATTGGTTATTCTCTTAGTTGCTGTTTCTGGTTTAGTAAGTCACAAAAGTATAAACATTTTCTTATTTTTATTCCTTGCTGAAATTATGTTGTGGAAACAATGGTTGTATGTAATTGTTAAGACAGTTGTTAAGACTGTGCAAGACTCATTGATTACAAGATCAGACAGTACGCTCATTAGGTTTAGAGCATTAGCTTTTCTCCAGTATAAAAACATTTATTCAAATTAGAAGTGGACTTTAACAGGCAGTGCTAGCCCTTGAAACCAGGTTCTGTGTCCTCCACCACACTGCTGCTGGTTTGTGTCTAAGCCGTGTATGCTGGAGTGCTGCGAGGAATGACGACATGCCAATGGCATAATTTCCTGATGGAGACACGATCAGGTGGTGTAAGAAAAGAAGAGCATCTCCCTGACTGAAAAGCATTAAGAAGATTAGTGGCTGCTTTAGAAATAATCAATGTAAGAAGGTAAGCATGTTGTTTTGATTAGAGAGCCAGACCTAGGAAAAAGATCAAGAAGAGTAAGAGAGTGAAGAAAACTGCAGAAGGAAAGGAGAAGAAATTTTGGGTTGTTACTGCAGAGGGCTTTTATTCTCATTAGTATTAAGGGTTAGTATTGTTTTCAGCAGTGAAGGGTAATTTAGATTATGCTGATCTTATATCACTGAGACAAGGAGCTGGACAGATTCTGCAGAAGAGAAGTGTGTGACTCATGGAAAGAGTAACTAGTGAAGAACTTGCTCAACTTGAACTCTTGCTTACAGGGATTTTATTTACCCCTGGGGGAGGGTGAAGTTTTCCAGCTTGGAATAGCGCTAAACTACTTTACCAGTGAGAGAGAACTTGAATCTCATTTGGTGAAAAGATAAGCTTTCATGATACAGGCTAACATGTACTGAAGACTATTGCACAGCCAGAGAGGAAGAAGATGCTTTAAAGCATGGGGGTTTTTAGCTGTGAAAACTAGCTAATGAAATATCCAACACATGTGATGGTCACATGAACTCTTTTTCATTCAATACACAAACCAAACAATCAAACATGTACTTATAGAGGCACACTTAACAAAAAAAGGAGGAATTCTCCCTGCTTTGAGAATCCCTAGGAACTCTTTCAGCATAATGACACCCATATTCTCCTTCACAAAATGCTCCTCAGAGAATTCACTCAAAACTATTCTATGATTTTTATTTGTAGTGTGAATAATAAGCTATCTGTCTGGTGACATCATTATGGGCACTTAAAAAAAATTAGCTGTGGATATATTTGGAAAGGGTTATATTCAAGAAAATTACTTGCTAAAGGGGTTTGTTTCATTTAAATACAGATTCAGCCTCAGCTTATCTGTACAAACAAGTTTTAAAAGAAAGGAGAAAACCCCCCACTTCCTTGATGTGCTGATCAGAGCTCTTAATAGCAACCTAAAACATGGATAAGTTAAGAAAACTCCCCAGTTTTCTCCAGAATGGGGCAGAACTTAATCTTCAGGCACAGCCTGTCTGAAAAGTTGGAGATAACAGAGACAAGATGAGATTTGGATGCAGAGTCAGAACACTTTAAATAGGTGAGTTATAAATATGGATCCTCTTTTTTATTTTTCTTTACAAACCCTACATCAAATTGTGGGGAAATATTTAAACTGCTTTTGTTAATATTTTGTTCAGCATAACTATTTGTAAAAAGGCTTTCTTCTACCTAATGGTATTGTCAAGTAACTGAGATCCTCTTTGCAATATAAACGAGTCCTAAATTCTTTCAGAGGGAAACAGCCCACCTCATTTTAAGATTAAGAAAGCCTAAGAAAAGGTAGCAGGTGTGAAAATTCAATTTATTAGCCCTATCTTTGAGAAGAGCTAAATCAATTAGTATAAATCTAGTCTTTGAAAGATACATGATAATAGATGACAAGAGAAGACTGAAGAACTGTACCATTTTGGCTTGGAAAAGCTGCTTTAAATGCTGAAACCCTGAAGATGAAAATGTCAGTACTTGATTAGTTGAACTGTAAAGAATCACAAGAGATTCCTACAGACCCTGAAAATGTTATGTATTGTATCTTTCACAAAACTGGCAAACACTCAAACCCCTGGTGTTTTTGCCAGTCAGTGCTAAGGACTTGCTAAGAAGGCATATGGTCTTCGTTCAGGTTTTCTTGACTGGAGAAGCTTTCTCTCAATTTCAGCTGTTGGCAGTCATAATTTCTGATTTTCATAATTGCAGTTGCCTTTAAATCAACTCTGGAAATCATCAAACTTATAGTCCTGGAGCAGAATCCTGATCCTTGTCAGCCATGGCTACAAGCCCACAGAAAATGAGGAGCAACACAGGTTAGTTCAGCTTTGAAGGAGTAAAGGTACTACTTGATTTTAGGTCAGAGATGGACAATAAAGTGTGCCTTGAACAGGAACAGATGAGAAGCTTCTATGCAGAGGTAGATCATTCCTTTTGTCTTCAGATTGCTTTTTTTCAGTTCAAGATTTTACATACACTGATAGGTCAAAACTGTGGTTCTTGAAAATGCTACACTTGTTTAGGAAGAAAAGGATAGGAATCTTCTTCCTTTTCTTTTTTCCTTTTTTTTTTTTCCAGAAAAATTTAAACTTTAATATGGACAAAGCATTAGGATCCCGAATCTAGAGAATCTGAATTTTTTGTGTGCTGCTGGCTAAAAGTCGACACAAGCAAAATGAGAAGTAGAGGCTGCATGAGCTGAAACTTCGTGCTACAAACACCTTCTTTCCTGGATGACCCTGTTCTGTACAGATAATGGTTCTTCTCTTTACAGCCCACCTAATGTGACTCAAACAAGAATCTCACTCACAAACACGCTATTTAGCACTGAGGCACATCCTTCAGACTTTTTTTTCCCCCTGCTGGGAATGCTGATGTGTAGAGCTGAAAGACTCTCTGCTTGCTGCCCGTGGTGCTGTACTGCCCTGCACATCTGTGCATTCTCACCGAGCAGCCTGCAGATGTGCAGCCTTGGGGCCCGCCTGCTTCTGTGCGCTCAAGGCGGGCGGAGAGAGCTCGGCGCGGCTCTGCCGGGACGGGGAGACAGCGCCGGGGCCGGGGCCCACGGGGAGGAGGGAGGAGGGATGGGGAGGGATGGAGGGAGGGATGGGGAGGGATGGAGGGAGGGATGGAGGGAGGGATGGCTCCGGTGCCAGCAGAGAGGAGCTGCGGTTCGTGACTGACGGGAGTGTCCGGCCACGCTGGGGACGGACCGCAAGCCCTTTGCTGTTTAGATCCATCTGTTGCTGCTTTAGGGAAGCGTGGTAAATTGCGATGGCAGGTTTTAATACTTTAGTTTAAATACAGCTGTTAAGGAAGGATAAAAATGTATGATTTTCATAATCATGCCTTTTTAAAATTTTTTTCTTAGGCTCAAGTGAACATTGCAAAACTGACTATAACCTGAGAAAGATTCTAGTCAAGGAGTGCTCACATCGCTTTGATCTGGCTAATTAGAGACCATGTTTTGATTATCCAGGGCAGTCAGCCCCTAGCAGGCCCTCTTAGGCTAAGCCTCTTTGCTATAAGGCCAGACTGAATTTGCAGTTTCTGAACGCAGGTGCTGGGCTGGTGTATCTCCCTACAATACTATTGTGCCACAACCCACCTGGTGGCAAGAACAGCTCGGACTGTGCCTGCTGTCATCTGTAAGCCCAGGTGTTTAGCCTTTTCCTGGGGTTTGCTCATCCCTTCTGGCATGTTCTAGCTCTTCCAGTCCTCAATCTCCTTCTCACCTGCAGCTTACACCAGCACGTCTTCTTCATTATTACCCTGCAGGTTTGCTTTCTTGAAACTGGCTTCTGACCCACCCAAAATGGGCAGCAGCTGTGCCTGTTCTCACCTGAGGCTGCTTGTTAGGCATGATGCCACATCTCATCCCACATGCAAATGGTAATTATGGGTGGGGGGGACCCTTCAAAGGACCTCTTGCTCAGACCAGGGTCAGTGTTCAAGCATCCTGATGCAAAACACAGACATGCTGCATACTGACATTAAATATCTCTGCAGACATGTCTTGCTATTGGAGGAAAAGTGATGGATATGAAAGCCCAGCATTTTATTCCCTACCTACTTTTAAAAAAAAAAAAAAAAGCTTGAAATTTTTATTCCGTCACCTTCCACCACAAACCTTGAAAGAGCAGCAGACAGAGAACCTATAGACACATTCTCAACCTCTAACACTGCTGTGCTGGGAGCTGCTCCAAGTGCACCATTAGAAGTAGTATTCTGCCCTGTTTTTAATTCAGAGAGCCAGGATCTGCTGCTCTGTGTTCCCAGCTGGTCTAAACAATTGTTTATCCTGACAGTCAAGCTCAGGTGCTAAGCAGGGCTGGGTTTCTGTCTCTGTGACATGCAAAGCAAGGTTAAACTGGACAGTAGCTGGATCTTCATCCCAGACCGTCAGAGGAGGAGACCAAACACAGACAAGGCTGTGAGAACATTACCTTTCAGGTTATTCAGCAGCTGCTGGCAGGGGTAATCATGGCTGGTGTTCCCATGAGCCACAACTCTGCTTTCCATAGTTTCATACCACTTCTGTCTGCTTCACTTCCATTTCCACTGATTTGCTGGTCTGCCTAGATTATGTACAATTATGAAAACTTTAAGACATTCTTCAATGGTAATTGAAGTCAGAAGCAGCTTTCTTTTACACAGGCTCTTTTTCCTTCAGCTTTCGTACGCCTGAGCAGCACACGGTACAACACTGAAAAATCAGGGTCCACCACTGAAGTTTATTTTTGTAGAGGTTAGTGTTCTTGGCATACGCCACAGTCACGCTGTGAGAATTTTCAAGTATTAGTTATAATATTTACTTGGCTTTTGTGAATAATATGTTAGTTTAAACATGTCTTCTCCTAAGGTAAAGTGAAATAATTGTATGTATTTTCTTATTTTTGTGGTCCTTTCCACCTAATTTCCTCCTCAGTTTATTTATTTTCAGTGTACGTGGGATTGTACAAAGAAATAAACAATTGTAAGGAATAGTGTAATAAAAAAGTTCTGTAGAAAAAAGTTCTATCTTTGTAGACAAGATATAGTTATTTCCCAGAGGGGGAGAATAATTGCAGCAGCACAGTGTGGAGGTTTACATATCTTGAAAAAAATCTTGTACTTCTGAATCAGTTATTTTCCATACGTGAGGACAACCCTGAAACTGCCAAATATTCTTGAAGGGATTTCTGCTAGTTTGGTAAAATGGAATTCAAGATTATACAAATCCACACAACTTCTTTTACTACAGCTATTGTCAGTAACTGATAAAGAAGCCTACTCCTGCTTGCCTTAAGTGTGTATTTTGCTGGTTTTGGTGGTGGTCAGTGGTGACAGACTGGCATCAGACTTCTGCGGAACGGATCCAACTTTCAGTGTGACTTAATGCAAGAAAAAAAAAAGTCCTTTTTGCAATCTCTTTTGGTAGTAGTCAGAGTGGGAATGATGACCCCTATCCCCACTATCATTACTTTGTTTTCTCTACCCATCCATCCCATCCCATGTGGCTCTGGAATATCAGCATGCTAATCTGTCTGCTTCAGAAACGGAATGCCGCACAGGATCTGTACGGCTGTGTGCACAGCGCCTAGTGCAGCAGAGCCCTGACTGCAGTGGCTGTGGGAGAGTGGCCTTGGGGGATGATGAGTTCTTTCAGAGAAGGTGCTTGGGAAGGCACATTCATGCATCTTGGATTCAGCAGATCCAAGAAGGGGGAGGCAGAAGGTTGGTTACCCAAAGTAACGTAGTGTGAGTCTGGAATTACTGGGTGCCAAGTATGGTCATTAGAGATCTCCAAATCACAAGGAAGGTCACCAGAAGTGAATGGGTACAGCAAAGCTCAGCCGTTTCCTTCCAAAGCCTCATACATCCATCCAGGCCTGACTAGATAGTCTGACTATCTGAGTTCCTTGGAAGTGAGTGTTAAGTACCTACATGAAGAGAGTAAGCAGGACTTGTCCTTTCGTGAAACATTATTAATGATATTTATACTGTGGTAACACTCAGGAACAGTTGAGGCCTCAGGATATTAGTACAAACTGTAAAGTAATTGCAGTTTCTGCCTGAGGAAACAAACAACAGTCAGGGGGTTGGAAGGTACAGTTCTGTTGGAAAATAGCATGCAGAAATGATACATCTACATGGTCTTACTCTGCAAATCACATATGTATTCAGAGTCATGTGTGCCATATACTTTAGTGACACAATAATAAACATCAATGACTTCTCTTTCCTACTCTGATGACAGTTAGACTAAGCTGGTTTCTTTTGCTCAAAAGAAATACTCTCCACATTTAGTCATGTTACCTGTACAGAGCTATGGCTAAAGGTGTAATTTAGACTGCAAAGTGCAGGACTTTTTTTCAGATAATTGTATAGTACAGAAAGGGAAAAGAGCAAATACAGGTCTCCAGCTGATTCTCAGTTTACAAGAAATTATAGACTGCTTTTCCTCCTTTAGCTCAAAAGAAGTTTGAAGTAATATTACTGACGCTAATGGAGCTACAGTACTGTAAAAGCTTTCTTAAATAGCCAAAATTGAGGCTAAATACAGCATTCAGCCTTCAGTCAAATTCAAATGTTAAATGTGAGCTCCCAAACCAGCCTTCCTTACAAGCCAAGACTTGCTGCCTGGTAGATCTGCAAGATCACCAAGGCCATTTACTGACCCTGTAGCTGGACACATCAGGCATTGCTGATCGTGCTCAACTACTGACTGGCTAGTGAGGACATCTAGTCACAGGGAGATGTGGTGGCACTGGGATATGCTTATTGCTGGCTCAGCGATCACCTGGGCTCAGATGACTTCACCCTCAGCATAACTGCACATCTTCACTGAAGTGTCCTGCAAATGTCCCTGCCTTGCCCTGCGAGCCTATGCACCAAACACATCATCCACGAGACACAGGGCAACAGCTGTTTGACAAAAAGAACGGTGGAGGTCTGAGTGCTGCCAGCTTTGACAGCTCAAAACAATTGTCCTTCCTCGTTCAACTCATGGGACTGACCCCAAAGTCACGAGACTTGTGCAAAAACATGTACGGCAGTTTAGTTGTTCCTTTTATTTTGGTTTGAATAATGCTATTTTGGTTCTTCTTGTAGAGACTCACACTCTCAAACTGGCTTTTCCCCTGTCCATTAAGCCCTTAAACCTTGAGGCAGTCCTGTGATCTCATCAGGACAGCAGTTCTGCCTCCTGTATCTGTCCTTCTCCCAGTCTTCCAGCCAATTCTGCCTGCCTCAGCCTCACCCTTACAGCAGAGCATCCAGAGGTCTGCCCCTCTAGTGGGAGGTGTAAAGACTAAGGAACTTTATGTTTCTTTATGTCCACCTTTTAGTCACAAACCACAGGGGACAGAACAGAAACAGTACAAACTGCTTTGCCAGCTCTTCTCCAAGAGGGCTGTGCCTGAAAGGTGGTGTGAGACACTAATTCCTGTCTGTCACTACTAACTCAGTGTCTTTTCCACAGGAGCTGGGGAGGCAGCCAGAACAGGTTTCCCACAAGCAGTGACACCATTTACTAAAGAATCCTCATAACTTTAGTAGTCACCTGGCTTGATTTTAAAAGGCCAGCATCTGGCTGTTTTGTGCTCGATGAACTTTTTGTCCTTTGGAAGCAGAAACTTCTACATGTGAAGAAATTTTGAGCTGAGATTTAGTCTGCAGTGGTGGTTCACTGAAGTCCTCTTTTAGCTGCTAAACTTCTGTGCCCAACCTGATGTATTACTGCAGCCAAACCTGGTCCCTAACATCTGAGACCTTGTGGAGAAGAAGGAGGGGGAGGAAGGGAGGAAGCAAAACCAGATAGCAGACAAATGGAAAAGTGTGGATTTCCTTGCTAGAAAAAAAAAAACAGAAAGAAAAAGAGAACACGGAAAATCAGATCTGCCATGTAAATTTGTGAGGGGTGCTTGACCTCTAGTAATTAATTTCAGATAATGCTAAATATTTTTTCAGGAATGTTTTTATACCTCAGTGATTCTATGCAAGGCATCCACCTTTGTGGATTTATTTCCCTTGAGGTACCTTACCATTTGCTGTACAGTAGCCAGTAATACACCACATTTGCCCCCTGCTTGACATGAGTTAAACCTCACATTTCTTAAAAGCAACAGGCATCTGCTGTGGAATGATGCAGTTTTTGCCCTCTGTTCCACAAACCCAGCCACACATGGAGTTGTGATCTCATTCTGGAAAACTTCTGAAGGACACTGGCCTTATGCAGAGCAACATCCTGAATACCACATCAGTTTCTCTCCACTTTCTCAGCCCTCACCTCCCCACACTGGTTTCAAGGTGTTTTTCTGTTCCCTAAATACTGTAAAAACATTTAGCATAGTTGGGATTCACAGTAATTAGCCTTTGGAAGGCTGAAGAGTTCACTTGCGGAGAATGTCTTCCAAGTTAAGAAGACAATAGACGTATATGTTTGCTACTAGAAGAGGCAGTGGTCTCACAGTTAAATTCCCAGTTAACTTCAAACCGGGCCTCTGAAACTTCTAGGCTTTATCTCAGTTTTTCCTCTGAAGCATCACGGAGTTTCATTCTGATTTAACCCACCTTGGATATAGAATACCCAAGTACCTGTGGCATGTTCTTTTCAAACACTGGGTTTCAGTTCAGACCACTGGAGGCACAGGAACAGAAGCCTTTAACATTGATGTGGATCCCTTGCACTGTGACTGTAGCAAGCTTCAAACTCTGATCTATTTAAAACATCTATTTATTTTTGAGCAGTTTTAAATAGATGAGAACTAAGGAGGGAGGGACTGTTGTGCTCCTAACACTGGCTCTTGCCTAGGATCGAGTCAATGTAAAACCCTCCTGCTCCCCTCGCCGGCTGTGTAGCCGTGCCAAGAGCATTTAAGAGCAAGATCTCCTCAGTTTGGAGCCGGGGTCAGTGTCCTTAAAGCTTCGGAAAGGAGCAGAGGAGAACCCTGGGAGGAGGACCTGAATTCCAAGCCATTCGATTTGCAAACTGATTCTCCACAAAGTTTCTTGGAAAGAACTCGGACACATCGGCTTCTGAGTATTTTAAAAGATGTAACCTTCGGGTTATTTTGTGAACTTTGTTTTGTTTACAGTGCTAAAGGGTGAGATTGGTTAAGACACACAGGAGAAAAACGTGGGCAGCTTTGCTTACACGTTAATTACGAGCGTACAGTTGTGGTTTGTATTTCATTCTTCACTAATACATCCCGCCTTAAAGAGAAACAATGAAGAATACGGTCCCTCCGAATCCTGCTAAGAACAACCTTTGGCTCTCAGCGGGCTGAGACGGAGCAATGTACTTACCATTACCGTGTTGCAAGTGCTTTCATCGAGTTCCCACCTTACACGCTGAAGCACGTACACTGCGCTTTCGAGGCTTTAAAGCCTCACCTCTGTCCATTAAAACAGACCAGAGAGGCTCAGCTGTTGCCGAGGCGGAGGTACGCTGCCCCAGCAGCTCGGGCAGCCGTGTGGGACCCTGGCAGACGGCAGGCCGGCGCCCCA